TTTATTGACTTAACTGTTCTGACAATTGTAAAATGGAATCTCAAAGTAATTTTGACTTGCATTTCTCTGATGGCTAAGAATGTTGAACATTTCTCTTTTTTTGTTTGTTTGTTTGGTTGGTTGTTGTTTTTTGTTTGTTTGGTTGTTTTTTTAGACAGGGTTTCTCTGTGTTGCTTTTAGAGCCTATCCTGAAACTCACTCTGTAGATCAGGCTGGCCTCCAACTCACAGAGTGGGCCACCACCCCCTGGCTATGTTGAACATTTCTTTAAGTGATTCTCAGCCATTTAAGTTTCCTCTTTTGAGAATTCTCTGTTTAGAATTGCACCCCATTTTTTTTTTTTTTTTTTTTTTTTTTTTTTTTTTTTTTTTGGTTTTTCGAGACAGGGTTTCTCTGTGTAGCTTTGCGCCTTTCCTGGAACTCACTTGGTAGCCCAGGCTGGCCTCGAACTCACAGAGATCCGCCTGCCTCTGCCTCCCGAGTGCTGGGATTAAAGGCGTGCGCCACCACCGCCCGGCCTGCACCCCATTTTTAATTGGGTTGTTTTCCAGTTTTGTTTTGTTTTTTTTTTTGAGTTCTTTATATATTTTGGATATTAGCCCTCTATTGGATAGAGGATATAGTTGGTAAAAATCTTTTCCCAGCTGGGTGGTGGTGTCACACGCCTTTAATCCCAGCACTTGGGAGGCAGAGGCAGGCAGATCTCTGAGTTCGAGGCCAGCCTGGTCTACAGAGTGAGATCCAGGACAGCCAGGGCTACACAGAGAAACCCCGTCTGCGGGTGGCGGGGGGTGGGGGGGGTACCTTTTCTCATCCTGTAGCCTCAGCTCTGGCACTGACAGGCTGTGCTTTCTGGCGGGCACAGCTGGGTCTGCAGCACTGCATCCTTCCACCAAGGTGTGCCTCTCAGAAGTCCCGACAGTGACTGCTCCATTAGCTCCACAGTTCCACAGCTTTTTAGAAAGCAAAGGACTTGAGAAATATCCTCAGTTGATGAGTCATGATTTAAAGGAGGCAGCCAGGTGATCCCATTTACAAACATATGGAAAAATGGAGGCATCTACAAGAATCTCATCTTCCTGAATTAGAACCTCATACAGAACTCTAAACCAAGAACATTTTGCATGAACAGTATGTTCCCAAGGTCACAGATAGTGTTTGCTTGCATATTGCAGTGGAGAAACTGAAATAGAGGAAGCAGCTTCTCCACATTGTAAGTAGGTCAGCCATGAGCCCCTGGTTCTTTCTGTCATGCTAACGTCATTAAGCTGCAACTTAAGGTAATTCTCCTTGATGTGATGTGCACATTAGCCAACAAATGCAGAACCAGTCCTGTTTTGGAAGGTTGGAGAGAGTTATCAATTAGCAAAATATCTGATTATAAAGTACTTTCAGCGCTGGGAGTGTAGCTCAGTTGGTAGAATGTCTATGTAGTATGCACAAAGCCATGGGTTCAAACCCCAGTACCATATACATCAGGTATGGTGATACATACCTATAATCCTAGGATCAAGGCTAGCCTGGGCTACTTAAACCCTGTCTTTAAAGGGGGTAGGGGAAGCTGGAGAGATGGCTTAGTAAGAATGCATATTGCTCTTACAGAAGACCCAAATTGAGTGCCCAACTCTCACACTGGGCTAGGCGGTTCACAACCACATTTAATTCCAGCTCAAGAAGGCTCTGCTGGTACCCACATTCACACACACATGCATATGCATGAATGCGCTCGCACGTGTGTGTGTGTGTGTGTGTGTGTGTGTGTGTGTGTGTATACACACACACACACACACAAAGTTTTTTTTTTTTTTTTTTTTTTGGTTTTTCGAGACAGGGTTTCTCTGTGTAGTTTTGGAGCCTGTCCTGGATCTCGCTCTGTAGACCAGGCTGGCCTCGAACTCACAGAGATCCACCTGGCTCTGCTTCCTGAGTGCTGGGATTAAAGGCATGTGCCACCAACACACACCCCCTCCCCCGCTCCCACCACCCCCAGCTAGTACTTCCAATTTTTAAAAAAGCTTTTAACTTGTTACTTTTAAAAACCAAAATTGGATGAATATTTAAGTGACTCTCCTACCAGCTTGCTTTGCTGTCATTGCAGTTAAGGAGTGCTATTGGCAAGTTTGGGTACATATAGGTTGATTTGCAAGTGAATGGGTCTTACATATGTTCTTGTTGTCCGGGGAAAGCAATACTTCTGCAGGTATTGGCTGAGGTCAGCCATTGAGTTTCTTTGTCTTTGAGGTGGAATGTGGACTTTGGTTGTTTCTTAGTGTTTCATTTTCCCTCTTGGCAGGGAAGTGGTGTATCACTAATACCTCATGAAACTGTGATTCACATGCCCATTTCCAGCTGAGGCCTCCAAGGCTTGCTCCCTAGAGAGGAGGTGAAATACTACCTGGTCCACATGCCTGCCACTCACTAGACCGCAGAGCCCGCTGCCTTGGTTCCCAAGGAGCAGTCACTTTGCTGAAATAATCACATAATGTACACATGCTATTTGATCCCTAAGGTGTTGTTGCTATTTTTGTAAACTCAACTCCAAGCCAGGCACCATAAATCTTACCCCTCCCAGAGGTAACCCTGGGCTAGGGGTTTGTAGATAGCATTACCTTTTGGGAACTCCGAGTGAAATTTCAGGATGATGGGTCATCTGGTGGTGCTTGTGGCTTTCCTCACTGTGAAGACTGGATCTGGACCTAGACCAAGCTCACAGCAGTGACGAGAGCCTGCTTTCTGGGTTGGACAAACATGGATTCTCGACCTGTTATTAGACAAAAACAGGAAAGAGAAAAGAATGAACCTGTGGATTCCAGACTATAGTCCTGGCCCGTCCTCCCTTCACTCACTGTACCCTTGGAGTGGTCACAGCCAGATACCAGGAACCCTGGGTCCTTAAGAGACTCAGGCAGTCCACACTCCTCTCTGTTCACACACAGCCTAGTGATGTCTTCAGACAGCCCTTGGTGTCCACACTCCTCTCTGTTCACACACAGCCTAGTGATGTCTTCAGTCAACCGTTGGTGTCCACACTCCTGTTCACACACAGCCTAGTGATGTCTTCAGACAGCCCTTGGTGTTCACAGATTCTGCACCTGAAGTTTCAGCCAATCACAGATCAAAAATACTCTTAGGGAGCCAGACAGTAGTGGTGCATGCTTTTATTCCCAGCACTGGTGAGGCAGAGGCAGGTACATGCATCTCTGTGAGTTCCAGGCCAGTCAGGACTGTTACACAAAGAAACCATCTCGAAAAAAAAAGTAATACTCATGGGGAAATTGCATTTGTCCTGAATACATAAAGACATTTTCCTCTTCTTTCTTCTTCCCAGGCAGTGTAGTGAGTGTTTACTGTATCTCTTACAGTGTTCTTTTGTCAAAAATCAGTTGAAAGCTGGCCAGGTACAGTGAAGTGGACTTGTAGTCTTAGCTGTTTAGAAGGATCACTTGAATCCAAGAGTTCAAGACCGTGCAGTGCAACATGGGAAGGTTCCAGACTCAAAAAAAGAAAGAAAGAAAAACAAACAGTCTGTTGGGAACGTTTGGGTAGGTCTATTTCTGAGTCCTCCTCTGTTTTTAGTGAATCTGTCTGCCCGCCTGCCAGCAACACACAGTCTGGAATACTCTGGCTGTGTGGTAGCTCTAGAACTCGGAGGCCTCCTCTCCTGTCCTACTTTTTCAAAATTGTCTTAGCCTATGGGGCTTCATCTGCCTTCTCATTTACTGGCACTTAAATGTGCCCTACACCCAGCTAAGAATTAAATCTTGGCTGAATTTTGTTTTTGTCTGTTTGTGTTTTGTTGTGTGAGACAGGGTCTCACTATGTAGCCCTGAATGGCCTGGAACTCAGGGCTGTGGCCAGGCTGGCCTTGTAACTTATAAAGGAACCACCGACCTTCCTGCTGGGCATTTATTTTATTTTTTCCCTTTTTATTTATCCATACACAACTCCTTGTCTTCTGGTTTGGTGAAGCAGTACGTCAGACAACACTTGCCACAGTAATGTCTGTCAAAGTGGCTAGCCATGAAAACTCCAGCACCACACTCATCAGAAGCACACTGTGGACGAAGGCAACTAATTCTTTCATTTTCGTCCATCTTACGGTACTTCCGCACAGCCAACTTAGCCTTTTCCTGTTGTGCTTCTTCTTCGTGGGAGTGGTGTAAGATTTCTTCCTTTTCTTGGCATAACCACAAAGTCTCAGCACGAGATGAAGGGGGGACTCCTTTTGAATGTTGTCGTGAGACACAGTACGGCCATCTTCCAGCCGCTCACCAGCAAAGATCAGGAGGAATTCCTTCCTTATCCTATATCTTGGCCTTTACATTTTCTATAGTGTCCGAGGCTTCACCCTTGAGCATGATGGTTTTCCCTGTAAGGGTCTTCACAAAAATCTCCACCTTGCTCCTTTTTTGGCCTAGGCTAATAGCCAGCAAGCCCCAGTGATGCCCTTGTCTCTGCTGTCTTCCCTTCTGCCACACTGAGGACTACATCAGCTTATCATGTAGGTTCTCAGATCTGAACACAGCTCCCCACAGTTACAGAACACTCAACCATTGAGATAAGCCATCTCTCCCGACCCATTTTCTTCCTCAGTAACTGAGACCAAAGTGCTGAGTCTTCTTACGACCTGCAGACACTGGAGACCAAGCCTGTCATGTACCACCCCACAGCCTCACAAGGCCTGCTGTGCATGCGGAAGTGTTTCCCAGTTGTGGAGGAGCTGACTCCTTGGCCTTTGACTTGATCCCTTGCCCTCTCCGAGACAGAGATGGTTCTGCTGTGAGGACTACCGAGGGGCCTAGACCTCTTGGTGTCTGCAGCTGTGGAAGTACCTAGCTTCCCCAGGGGTTGTCAGCTCTGCCCCTTCGTCTCTGTGGAGGGGTTGTGAGCAGGGGACAGACAGCTTCTGGGACCTCATTTCCCAGCAGCTGTCTGCACACTCTGGGGGGAGTGTGGCTGAGTGGGTATCCCAGACTCTGACCCTGTCTCCCTTGAAACAGGAGGATCATGACATCATGGAAGCTGACCTGGACAAAGATGAACTGATCCAGCCCCAGCTTGGAGAACTCTCAGGAGAGAAGCTTCTAACCACGGAGTACTTGGGAGTAAGTACACATGCCAGAGGTGTCCTGGAACAGGATGGGCAGAAGGATAGGCATGATTTAATGCCTTCAGTAACACAGGGTTCTGTAACTCAGCTTTCTATAGGCCCACACTGGAGCACTAAAGTGTTGCTGGTTGTTTTTGTCCTTTTGTAGACCCACCACCCAGCTCCCAAATAAATCACACACGGAGGCTTATTCTTAGTTATAAACATCTGGCCTTAGCTTGGCCTGTTTCTTGCCAGCTTTTCTTGACTTAAACTGTCCCATCTGTCTTTTGCCTCTGGGCTTTTACCTTTTCTTACTTTTGTGTATTTTACTTTAACTCTTTCTCCATGGCTGACAGGGTGACTGGCCCCTAGTGTCCTCTTCTCCTTCTCTTGCTCCTTGATTCTTCTCCCAAATTTCTCCTCCTATTTATCCTCTCTGCCTGCCAGCCCTGCCTGTCCTTTCTCCTGCCTTGCTATTGGCCATTCAATTCTTTATTAGACCACCAGGTGTTTCACACAGGCACAGTAGCACAGCTTCACAGAGTTAGACAAATGCAACATAAACAAAAGTCACACACCTTGAAATAATATTCCCCAGCAGGGTTCAGTAGGGCTTGGGCTACGAAAAGACCTATGTTAGCCAGTTGCTCTCAGGGCCTGAAGAGCCTTGGAGACCTGTCACAGATAGACCTGCTGGTGTATGGAATTGGAGTTGGGGAGAAATAGAAATAAAAGGGCTGCCAGGCGTCTTTATGATGTCTGCAGTGTCACCCACAGTCCCAGTCATCACCAGCTGAATCTTTCCATTTCCATGTTGTGGCAGTTTGAAGGTAATTGGCCCCCATAAGCTCATAGGGAGTGGCACTGTTAGGAGATGTGGCTTTGTTGAAGTGAGTATGGCCTTGTTGGAGGAAGTGTGTCACTGTGGGGGTGGGCTTTGAGGTTTCCTATGCTCAGGATACCACCAAGTGTCTCAGTCAACTTCCTGTTGCCTGCAAGATGTAGGACTCTCAGCTACTTTTCCAGCACCATGTCTACCTGCAAGCTACCATGCTCCCTGTCATGATGATAATGGACTGAACCTCTGAATCTGTAAGTGAGCCACCCCAATTAAATGTCTTCCTTTATAAGAGTTGCTGTGATCATGCTGTCTCTTCTCAGCAATAGGAACCCTAACTGGTTTCTGGACACATGTGTTAAATCAGTTTGGATCTTGCACAGAAGTAGTGGCTAAAGTTCAGCAGGCAGGGTAAGAGTCGGCAGCCAGCCAGGGCTCTCCGGCATGTCAGGCATAGGAGAAGGAAGAGGGACTCTGTGATGGTTCACATGTATTTGGCCCCCATAAACTCATAGGGAGTGGTGCTATTAGGAGGTGTGGTCTTGGAGGAGGCTGGATGACACACACCTTTAATCCAGACCTTGAGGCCGGAGGGCACACCTTTAATCTGGGCCACACCTTCTGTTGGAAGTGTGTCACTGTCGGGGCAGGCTTTGAGGTCCTTTTCTCAAACTTCACTCAGTGTGACCATCAGTGGACTTCTGTTGCCTCTGAGTCAAGATGTAGCACTCTCAGCTCCACGTCTGCCTGCATGCCATGCTCCCCGCCATGATGGACTGACCCTCCGAACTGTAAACTGCCCCCTCAATTAAATGTTTTCTATATATGAGTTGCCGTGGTCATGGTGTCTCCTCACAGCAATAGAAACCCTAACTAAGACAGGCCCTAAGGACACAATTCAAAAAGCCAGGGACTGCGGAGAACCTGAAGAATGCAGTGTCTTGGAGACAGAAGAGTGGCCAATGGTGTCATCATCTGCCAGAAATTGCCCTCTGAGAGATCCTTGGTAGCATTGATGCTCAGCCAACTCCAGGAGCCACTAGCTAATAACCAGCCAGACAAATAGGAAGGAAGAAGACTGGAGGTGTAGCAAATGCTCTTAGCATGCCTGAGGCCCTAGACTGAACTGCCAGCTCCAAAACTGATGTCTCAGGGTGTCAGAGAGCAGATGTATAGGCAGATGCATGCTAACATGCAAGCTTTTGGAAGGGAGGAGCAATTTCCAGGGATATGAACCAAACTAGACTGAAGCCCTGGGCTGGCTGGCTGAGCACACCGTTATTTTTCAGACAAGCTGTTGGTTCTTTGAAACAAAAGGTTGGCAGAGCCGGTTACGTGGATCCTAAAATCTCCAAATAGGTGAGCTAGAGAGAAAGACTAGAGCCAGCCTCTCAACAAGGAACAGGCAAAGCCAGAGGCCCAGGAAGAGGAATGTGGCATGGCCACGTGGCCTGATTCTTGACAGGAGCAAATGGAAGCAGAAAGTACCCGTCCATGCCCACTACCACCCCCAGCTAGGCCCTCATGCCCTCATTAGGAGCTGCTCTCCCTGATGACCTGTCCTCATGTCCTCCCATCATGTGAGGACCCTCCAAGGACTCTGGACTAGATGACAATGTATTCCAGTAGAATCTGAGGTTGAGGGACAGCCAGGGGCCATCTCATGGAACTCTGTGGGTCATGGCATGTGGAGTTTAAGCTGCATAGGCACTAGGAAACTATAGGAGTGAGAGTGGGAAGGATTCCGGTGATTTCTATTTTAACAGGGTCTGGGGATGTACTCATTTGACAGAGTGCCTCCCTAGCATGTATGAAGTACCTAGCATGCATGAAGCCTTGGGTTCCATTCTAAACACCACATACTTGTAATCCCAGCACAGAGGAGGTGGAGGCAAGATCTCAAGTTCAAAGTCATCCTCAATTACATGTGAATATAAATAAGTAAATAAAATGTATCAACCTAGAGTCACACTGTGGCTACTTTGTGTAAATGGACTTGGGGTCAAGAATGGAGAGAAAGAAGTAAGTAATTGAAGAAACTGGAGGAAGGCTAGCTACTGCCACCCAGTTAGGAAAAGGTCTGCTGGACGGAACCCACTCTTGTCCTCAGAATGTATCATGGAGCAGAGGAGCCCGGCTGGCTATGGAGGCTCAGTTCCTGCTTGGTCAATGCAGTGATGCTTCCAGCGGTCAGGAGGTGACTAGCCAGGGCCTCCTGAACTATGACTAGACGTTTGTTTCCCTTGGGGAGCATCCTGGCTTCTGAGAGGCTTGACTGCATAACAAGACATGATTCTTGAGAGCGTCTGCAGGGCCCTCTACTTCAGAAGCAGGTGACCAGAAGAGGCCAGTGGGCAGGGCTTCTCTGCAGGGCAGGACAAGAACATCCGTGTCTGTGCCTCTAACTCTACAGTACTCAAATTCCAGCATAGGGATTAATTGTGATTTTATCAGACATAAACCTAAATACAACCTTCAGTTAACTTTTTGGGCCCCACTACATAGTATACTGCTGTGGGTGAGGTCTTATGTAGATATAATGACAGTTTTTAACAACAAAACCTGAGGCAGAGCATGCTGAGACTGCCAGTTTGGTTGAACATACTGGTGGGGTGCTTTCCATTAGTAACCACAGATGATGGGCACTTGGAAATGGTATCATTTCACCATAACCCACACTCAGAACCTCCTTAATGCATGTATATCCCTTTTACTATAGAGGGAATAGTTTTAGAGCCCACAGAAAAGGTCCACACACTCTTGCTTATCTCGTTGGTGTCCGTTACCACTGTGTGGAGCAATGAGCTGTCAGAATGAGGACAGAAAGAATTGCTTATATAGAGGTGAAGGCCAAGGGCATCCATTTCCCATGGCTGCAGGAACAAAGGACCACACACTGGCTGCCTTAAAACAGACATGTATTCTGTCACGGTTTTGGAGGGCAGAGGTCCAAACTCCAGGTTCAGGCAGGACTGGGCTGCCCCCAAAGCTCTGAAGGAGACACCTTCCTTGATTCTTCCAGCTCATGGTGGCCCCAGGTGATCCACGGCTTGTGGCCACACCACTCTGATCTCTGCCTCCATCTTCAGGGGCCTTCTTGATTTCAAAAATCCTTAATTGTATCTGCAAAGATTCTTTTTGCAAATAAAGTCATGTTCACAGGTTCCAGAGTCAGAGCATGCATGAATTTTTTGGAGACCTCTTTTGAGCCCCTACCCCAGGCCACCTCAGGAGCTCATCATAGAGACATCCTTATTGAAATCATACAGACAACTCAGTCGGGGGCAGAGCTGTAGCCACTGAGGCCACTTGTGCACTCCTGGTGCTCCCATCCTTCATAAAATCACCCTAAGCTGCTCCTCTTCACCCAGACCTGTGACCCAAAACTGTCAGCCTGCAGTCTGTGCATTCTGGGCCAGGAATTTTAAAAGCGGAGGTCTTGTCTTTCACTTAATGGTGCATAAAGGACTTAATGTCACAGCTCATAACTGCATGTGCCAAATGAGGGGGATTAAACTGCATTGGTGACTTTACTGTGACCGAGTAGCTGACCGGAGCAAAGGTTCGTTTTGGCTCACAGTTCAGGGGACACAGTCCAGCTTGGCATGGGCTCTGGTGGCTGCCGTAGCTTGGTCCGTGTCAGCAGGACCTTGTGGCATGGCTTGTTCGTGCTGTTGCCATCAGGAAGTGAAGGGCTAGACTAGAAGCAGAACCAAGCTGTCCTTCAGGGCCCGCCCTGGCCAGCTGGGGACCATGAGCCTGTGGGGCCATCTCACATTGCAGCCATAACACCGACCACAGGTCACAGGCATTTCTCTGGAAGTCATGACTTGGGGCTTTCGGCAGTACCCAGCAGAGGTCTCAGGCTGAGTCTGAAGATGTTCGCTTTTGAAACATTTCGTCAGAAAACTAGATTCACAGCCTTAACCTTGAAGACCGTTCCCTGCCCTGGCAGAATGGTGATAAAATGGCAGCAGTTGCCTTCCTGGAGTTTACAAAAGAAGACAGTGAAGGGCTGGAACCGCCCCTAGGAAGAGCTGTCCAGTAAGAGCTGCAGAGAACAGAATTCCCTGAAGAACAGAGCTTGTCTGAGACCTGCCTGAAATCCCTGGCATGTCCGGAACTACTACTGATTTAAAAACAGCACAAGACCTTGGGGCATGGGAAAGGACAAG